TTCAATCAAGAAGAAGCATAAGTAGATAGCTGAAGAGGAGGGGCGTCATTTATTTATTGAAATTTCTCAGTGTACTGGTTTTGGCTGGGATAGAGTTAATTTTCTTCACAGTAACTTGTATGGTGCTATGTCTTGGATTTGTGAAGAAAACCGTTTTGGTAACATAAGGGTTTTAGTTATTGCTGAACAGTACTTAGTGTCAAGGCATTTTCTGTTTTTCACACCACCCTCCCAATGAACAGACACAAGAAGTTGAGAAGGGACACAGCCAGGCCAGCTGACCCCAACTGACCAGAGGGATATCATATGACATCATGCTCAGCAATAAAAGCTGGGGGAAGAAGGAAGAGGTGATGTTTGCAATTAGGGTGTTTGTTTTCTGAAGTGGCTCTTGTGTGCAATGGAGCCCTGCTTTCCTGGCAGTGGTTGAACATCTTCCTGCTGGTGGGAAGGACTGAATAAATACCTTATTTTGCTTTGCTTGTGTGTGCAGCCTTTGCTTTACCTATTACACTGTCTTTATCTCAACCCACAAGCTATCACACTTTTACCCTTCTGATTTTGTCCCCCATCCCACCATGGGGAAGTAATCAAGCAGCTGGTGGTGTTGAGCTGCCTACCAAGGTGAAACCACAACACGTAGTTTCCTGATTTACCTGTCTCTTCCACTGCAAGCAAATAACCTGCTGAAGTACCAAACTCCCTTGGCACAGGAGCTCAGCCATGTATGGAGACACAAAGTCTGGCAGCCCCTTCCAGGGCTGGCTAGTGCCTGCACATGTACCTAACTGCCTGCACATCTGTCCAGCCCCTTTCCCCAGCTCTAGGTCACATCCCTACAAACACCAACCTGAAGCAGGTGACCAGTTTTGCCTTGCATGGGAAATAGTAACACACTTGCCCTCCATTCCCATTCACACCAGATCCCAGGCCAGCACTGACCTATAGAAGGGAAGGTGAAGGAACTGGGATGACAGTCACGCAGCAACTCCCTGGCAAGGCACAGTGCAGGCAGACAGGCATTCCCTAGCCCATCCTAACCCTGGATGACTCTGTTCTCCAGGACTGGCTCCTCAGTCCTTGCATGTGCCTGTATGGCATAGACACACACTTGACTTTATCAGAGAGACTTTCCAGGACTCCTGAGAGGGACCATTGTCCCCTCTGTCCCATCGGCCCCATCACACAGCTACACCCAACTGCAGCCAAACGACAAGCACCGGGAGGATAAAAATTAATTTTTCTCTTTTATTTTTCCTCTCTTTCCAGTTCCAGAATGCCTAGCAATGGCCCCAAAGCACTGACATCTCTTTCTGAGTTTGAAGGGAGCCTGAGAAAGCTGCTCTGAATGGAGACATCCATACTAACAGGGCCTGAACCCACATGTTACCCACACCAGGGCTGGTCAGGGTGAGGGTGAAGGAGGGAAGCATCACATAATTGCTGCCAGCTCTCACCAGCTCAACAGTGCTGACTGCTTCAATTCACTTTACCTAATTATACTAAAGAATCCTAGAACCATAGAATGGTTGAACTCTCAACTCAGTCCCCGTGACATTGTCCTTCCCCCAAGCATCTTTCTCTGCAGTGCCATCCACATGATGGCTGCCTTATTCCCACATCCCCCAGAAAAACAGCCACCAGACAGGGTGCTGGGGGAGATGCAAGATCATGAGAAAGGCACCAACAGTAGCAGAGGCCTGGACATGGAGAATGGAAGATTTAGAGGTTTGAAGTGAGCAGGCATGGGGGTGTGGAGGCTCCCTGAGGGACAAAGAACACAGCAACAGAGAACTGGCAAAGGGGAATCTGTGGGAAGGCCCCACTGCCCCGAGGGAAGCCATGGGGCCTGAGGGAAGGGCAGGGGGGCTGAGGGAAGGGCATGGGGACTGACGGAAGGGCATAGGGGCTGAGGGAAGCCATGGGGACTGAGGGAAGGGCATGGGGGCTGAGGGAAGCCATGGGGACTGAGGGAAGGGCAGGGGGGCTGAGGGAAGGGCATGGGGACTGAGGGAAGGGCATGGGGGCTGAGGGAAGCCATGGAGGCTGAGGGAAGCCATGGGGACTGAGGGAAGCCATGGGGACTGAGGGAAGGGCATGGGGAATGAGGGAAGCCATGGGGACTGAGGGAAGGGCAGGGGGGCTTAGGGAAGGGCATGGGGACTGAGGGAAGCCATGGGGGCTGAGGGAAGGGCATGGGGGCTGAGGGAAGCCATGGGGACTGAGGGAAGGGCATGGGGGCTGAGGGAAGCCATGGGGACTGAGGGAAGGGCATGGGGACTGAGGGAAGGGCATGGGGGCTGAGGGAAGCCATGGGGACTGAGGGAAGGGCATGGGGGCTGAGGGAAACCATGGGGGCTGAGGGAAGGGCATGGGGGCTGAGGGAAGGGCATGGGGACTGAGGGAAGGGCATGGGGACTGAGGGAAGGGCATGGGGACTGAGAGAAAGTCGTGGAGTCTGGGGAGCTATAGGAGGAGGGTGGGACATCTGCATGACTTGTGCTGGAACAGCACACACATGGGGATGTTAGCAGCCACCACAAAACCCAACCTAGTGACACAGGCGACTCTTGGGGGAGAGCGTTGGTCCCTCTGAGACCATCCCTCCTGACTGCATGGCTGGGACCCTGCTTTGCTGCACACCACCCTCTGAAGCGGCAAGGCAGAGGCTGGAAGCTTTGAGCCCAGCTGTGCTGCTGACAGCCATTCCTCACCCACCACCACAGGGCAGGGTGCTGGGCCCAGCAGTAGAGATGGGGAGGATCCCTGAAAACGGGAAGCTCCAGCCACCATGGGATGTGACAGGCAGCACTGAGACAGCAAGGCTGTCAGGGGTGTCCCAGAGGTCAGCGTGTGGGAAGGAGACAGAGAGACAGCAACGGTGGCACCGAGACAAGCACAGACAGACATCTGTCACCTGCTACTGCTCCTGGGAGCCGCGTCAGAGGATGGCAAGGATGAAGGGTGTGGTTATTTAATGCCATTTATTTCTCAGCACTACAGATATTTAAAATAGAATAACTAAGATAATCACAGTGCCACGGCATCCCTGTGTCCACTGCAGACAAGAAGTCTTCAGCAGAGCAAGCTAGGTGTCCTTGATCCTTGTCATGGGAGCAGGAGATCATGTCTGCTGGGCTGGGTGAGAAGACCAAACCAAGGGAATGGGGTGCTGTGCCGCAGACTGGCACAGAGAGGAGAGGACACTGTGTGCAATATGCCAGCTACTATAGGGCCAGGGTCAGCATGTGACATGCTGACTCCCAGCAAGGCAGAGCAGAAGAGCAAGAAACAGAGTCCTAGCACACCCATGATGCAGCAGCTCCCAGCAGGGCATGTGAGACTCACTGACTTTTCATGAGGAACAGTCAACATGCACTACACTGGCTCCTAGCAGAGCAGGTCTGAGGGCAATGCACACACTTCTAGAGGGCCACATGGGACCTGTTGCCTCCCAGCAGGACACATGACATACTGACTCCCAGCCAGCCAGGGCTAATGTGTGATGCCCTGCTCCCAGACGATGACCTGACTGCCAGCATGTGATGAACTGATCCCCAGAAGGATACTTGTGCTGCACTGGCTCCCAGTGGGGCTGAACCCCATAAGATGCACCAGGTCCCGGTAGGACACAAGGGACCGACTGATTCCCAGCAGGATACATGCAGTGCCAAAACTCTCAGTGGGACACACCTGACACACCAACTCCCAGCAGGAAACAGGCAACACTGCAACTCCTAGTAGGGCAGAGCCAGTGTGCAAGGTGCCAACTACCAGCAGAGTACATGCAAAACACAGTGAATCCCAGGAAGGCAGAGCCAATGTGTGACACACAGACTCTCACCAGAGCATTCGTGCTGTGCCAACTCCCATCAGGACACACATAAGGCACCAACTCCCAGCTTGATACACCAGCTTCCAGCAGGATGCTTGTGACGAAGTGACTCCCAGCAGGACACCTGTGATACACTAACTCCCAGCAGGATACGTGCAGTGCAGTGACTCCTTGTGTGACACACATGATGCCCCACCTCCCAGGGAGACGCACAATGCACTGAGTCTCAGCAGGACACATGTAATGCACTGAGTCCCACCACAGCTCTCACAGTGCACCAGTTTCCAGTGAGACACATGCAATGCAATGACTCCTACTATGGCCGGGCCAGCGTGCGAAGCACAGGCTTCTGGCATAATACGTGTGAAGCATTCCTAGGATGACAGGCACTGAGTGTGAGACACCAGCTCCCAAAAATGACACAGCAGGTCCCATTGGAAAAGGGCTGGGGTGCAAAGCACAGGCCTCTCTGTGCCCTGCTTGCAGTGGAGAACAGTTGTGGGAACTGTCCCGGCAAAGGAAGGGTGCAGGGGCAGGCTAGGCTGCGTGGTTGGGGGGACAGGGACACCATAGCAGGGCTCCCAGTGCCACCTAGTGGGGACAGCCCTGAGAGCTGGGTGCTGCTGAGCGCAGCAGACCTTCCCCAGCCAGGCCAGCCTCTCCCACCACCCTGCCAGACCTGCCTGCCTCCAGCAGCCACCCCAAGCCCACACGCTGCACTGCAGCAGACCAGCATGTCCTGCCAGCTCTCCTCCCACACTTGCTCACCCTGGGCCTGGAGATTGTATAAAGCACCGTCACGGGAGGGACAGAGGAATTTACTCCAGGTGCAATCTGTTAATCACATCAAGTACGGTCCTGTCAAGTCACTGGGTTCCCATCCTGCATGGGGTGAGCACAGAGGGACCTGGTCAGCGATCCATAGCTTTTGCCCATGAGCTGCAGTGTCCAGAAAGCATTAGAGCCCCTCTCCTAAGAGGATGTTTCAAGAAAGCCCCCAAAAAGTACTGAGGCACACACTGATGCTCGATGCATTTTTTATCAGCACATCTACCTGCAAATTATCCTTCATCTGTGCACATTATCTCTGACACACACAGTCATGCATATACAAGAACGTATCACAGACACATCAGCCAAAGAAAACACTGGCACAGCAAACAGCTTGTGTGACTGCATGAGTTTTATTTTATAGGCTTTCTCCCCCCAAAACAGACCAGAGGTTCTGGGAGATGGAAACAGCAGATGGGGCCATAAAGGTGCAGTACAGAGCTGTGTGGAAGTTTACACATGGGAAGTCTAAAAACGAGTAACAAATGCAAATTTAACAGGGGGCGGAGGAGGAGGGGGTGTGAGTAGATTTGCAATCTTGGTGCATGTGAATGCAGTCTTTCCTTCCATCACTCCACCCAGCAGGCGACCTTCAATCTCTAGAGCTGTATCTCCACTCATCTAAAGCCGTTTAATTGCTTGGCATTTTCTTACGTTCCATCTGCATCCTCAGTCTCTTCCTTCCTCACACGTCCTCAGTCTGAAAACAATCCCTAGGATATTAAAGAGAAAACCATGACACCTTGTGGAACAGATGGAGCCTTCTCCAGATAAAGGCACCCTCATGAATACTGGTGTGTCAACAAGCAGGTCTGCCCAGCATAGAACAGCCCAGACAGTGAAAACAGACCGAGTAAGGCCCCCAAAAAATATCAGTTTCCAGTAGATGCCCTAGGTTCACCTACTGATAAAACACAGTCCCTCTTTGCTCAGAAGATCAGCTACCAGGTTTTTGTTGGCCTTAATCATGATTAAGCTGAGCATCCCTCCAAGGAGTTTTTCCAGGGAACACAAATCCCTGCAAAAATTAAATCAGCTGCAAGATGCTCTATTATCTTCATGATCCACTCTGAAATCAAGGCAAAGGTGAGGCTAGAAAATCAGGCCCATCATAGTGATGATCTGAGTTAGGCTGGATCCCAAACACTTCTGCAGTAATATATAAGACTAGAAATGAGAAGAGAATAAATATTTTCAAAAAGTGATGGCCACAGAGTTCAAGGCAACAAGTGGGAAGGAGCTAACAAAACCTGTCATTATGGAGGCTATCGGTACAATCCATGGCCTGCACGAGCTAATGGGTTGGGCACATCTCTCCAAACATGAACCCAGTACAAAGCTAAGACACCAAATGATCAGCTCAGGTATGCCCAGAAAGGCAAATGACATCCCCATGGGGTTACACTCTCCTGAGCCCCTGTGCCCTAAGACAACCTACAGCAAAAACCCTGCAGGATCCCAGTGAAACACCAGCTGATCCCCAAACACTTAAACTGAAGGCTGTCCTCTTCCCATGAACTCACCTCCTCTGCGCTCACATCCCAGCTGCCAGCCTACTGCCTATTTTAAAAACCACAGAATTTGGAATTGGAGTAGTTAAGTGAGCTGTGGTGGTCCAACAGGCTTCCTCACGACTAGTGTCCTCCAAGAGCTGCCCTGTCCTCCCAGAGCACCACGGTCTGAAAGAAAGGAAAGAGGTGGGAGCAAACATCAGTCTCAAAGCTGAACTTCTCCAACGGCTTAGAACCAGATCATTATTTTAAGAGCACTTACATGAAAGAAAGAATAGCTTGGGAACTGCTAAGGAGAGACTTGGCTAGGTCCCCTCCAGGTCACTGAGTGCACGCAGGGCAGCAGAAGCAGCTCCAGGCTCTTGGCTCTGTCAAAATTTGGTGGCAAAACTGAAAAATGTGGTAGAAGACATTTTCATTTTGCTAATTTTGCCAACCTGTCAGGACACACCGGTGGTAATGAGCTGCAAAGAGATTTGGGCAGGTAGTGAGGGGAGCTAGGCTTGGCGCAGGTGAGGATGGTCAGTACATTGTGGGGAAGGAAGGAGGAGACTGGGAGAGACATGAACATAGCAGGGCTAACACTTTTACTAGGAGAAGGGAGAAGACTGGAGAAAGGTGTGTTTGGGGGTGGGATAGTCAGACCCATCAGATCCCTGGTGCATGACCTGTCCCCAAGGCAGAGAGAATAATGAGAAATACAACGTGAGGTCAGAGTGGCTTTACACTACCTCCGGGCCAGGTAGGCCAGCTGGCCTTCAGTGCTGCATTCTCAGGCAAGCCCTGCTTCCCTCAGCAAAAAGTCCAGAGGGCTGGCTCCACCATGCTTGTATGTGACAGCTGGCATGTGCATAGGAAAGGGTCCCTCAGCATGACATGTCATCATCTAAATCCCAAGAAAGGTATTAATGTCTGCCATCTGGCTCTAGAGAGGCTTTAAGGGTCTTGGGGAATGAAACAGGTAGCTCTAGATCCTAGAACCTACAGCAAAATAAGTTTGGGGTTTCAAACTAGACCCCTCCATGAAAACTGAGGTCTCCTCAGACGCACTTGCCTAAGCAGTCCAGGGCAGTGCTCATCAGGGAGGCAAGAGGAGTAGTTGGAATGGACAAAGAATTTCTCAAACAAAGGTGTTTGGAGGGTACTGAGGCGTTAATAAGCTCCCTCTGGGTATGCCTGCATTGCCCAACAGCTTTGTTCCTTGTCTTGCTCCCTGATCCAAGTCTCTGAATGTCCAACCATGCTGCAGGTACAGTTTTTTACACATGGGCTATAGTTTGGAGGAGATCACTGCACATGATGGATCACCCTTGGGTTGCCATGCCTCTTTGAGACCACAGGAATCTGGAACTGCTGAAACCCCAGCAATTACTGATGGTGTCTCAGAGCCAGTGAGCACTACAAGAGGCCCAGAAAAGATATGGGCCAAAGTTGTAGTAGTGGTCATCCCCAAGCACTGTAGACTTAAGCCACGCTTCATCATGTGGCATGGGAGTCAGGGACTGCTCGCAGAATGAACTCCTTTGGTAGTAGATACTGAAGCTCTGTCTCCACCACTGGAGGAAGTTCGGGCATCTCTACCTGGCCCGTGGTACAAGTTGTACTGAGTCAGAGCAACAGTCTGCCAAGAGTAGTGCTCATCCCCAGCAGTGGCAGGCAACTTGGTAAAGGCTACAAGAAATGAGGTGAATATAGAGTGATTCCACCCCTGACAGTGCCTTCCCAGCTGCCTGCAAACTGCTCCTCAGCCCACCTCCTGAGCTAGAGAATGTAGTTGCCCTGCAATATTGAACAGTGCTGCTCAAGTAGTTACGACACATTCTGGCTCCTGTCTTTCAACAGGGAGCAGGCAATCCCTGCATATCTCATCGCTAAAGGCCTCCTTGAAAGCTTTTCAAAGAGAAGTTGTATATAAATATCTCCAAGTTTAATGTTACTTTTAACCAGCATGCTGAAACAAGCAGTGTGCCAGCCAGGCTGTTCCACCTTTCTCTCTGCAGTACTGGGAACCTGCAGACAAAGAGTAGACCACCTCCAGATGGGCAGCAGAGCAGCAAAACCTGAGGCTGATGTCCTCCAAACTAACATGCCTAAACTTGTCACATCTCCAGGGGATCCTGGCAGTCAACTCTTAATTTATGTCTTCTACATAGTGACCAGCAGCCAAAAAAGAGAAATGCTGCCCTTTACCCCAATACCTCTCTGCTCTGAAAATCACCAATGTTTGCCTGTTTATAAGCACAAACACACTACCTCAGACAATTCACAGTTGACAATATTTTATTTTTTGACTGTTGAACCTGCTACCAAGGTAGGCCCTCGCTCACTGCTTTCTGGGTATGAAGGCAAAGAAACATGAACAAAACTGTAGCTCACCTTGAACTCTTTTTTCTGAGCATCAGTCCCTCCCTATAATTCATTAGATCCCTAAAATACACAAGAAACTAAGAAAAACAACAGCCACAAGGTAAGATGACTGCACTCTATCAAAAAAGCTTTTATCTCTTGCAATGAATAAATAACTCTGACATAACTACACACAGCAATTTTTCATCAGATGTCTGAGTATCAAACTCCCTTTCCAGACCTACTCAGATACAGCTCTCAGCAAATGTGCTGATGGAAAACCACTGGCCACTTTCACAAATGTGTCTAAAATCTAGCACATAAATCCAGAAGAAACTGTTCCAAGGACCTACCACACCATCTCCTCTTTCTAGAGCAGTTGCCACCTTGCAAGACTCAGCATCTCTCTGTGCACTTCAAGGGTATTTTAGCCCATAGCCTCACCATGGAAAGCACAAATAGCTCTTTTTTAAGGACAGACAAGAGGTCAAAAGCTGAGTGGTTATTTGCAAAATCCCTTAGACATCTTGAGGTTGAAAAAAAACCCCAGAGAATTCAAACGCAGCCTTCCTGGGTGTACGGCAAATAGACTCAGTCTGTACCCAAACCAGTGCTGGTAGCTGATGAACAATATTCATCTCCAGATTCCTACTCAGCTGGAGTCATAATTTGGTGATTTCATGTGCTATCAGCCTCTGACTGCAAGGCAATGAAAATTAAAACAGGTTATTTTTGCACTAACAATCGACTCTTTTCGGGGAAGGCTTTTTCATATCGGGCAGCCCATATTGCCACTGGTTAATCAGATTGAGACTTAAGAAAGCCCACTGTGAGATGACACAGATTGTTTCCTCCCTTGGGACCTGGTGAACACCATGGTCAGTATGTAACTGGCAATGCCTGCAAAAAGAATCCCCATTATATACAACAGCTGAGTCCTCTTCTTTCTCTGCTGGCGCCCGGCCTCCACAGACCTGGACTAGGACCAAGGGGCTCCATGTGCTCAGCCATCCCACATGGTGACCCCTCTCTTTATTCCTCAGAATTCTTAAGTGGCCACAGCACAGTGGTGGAAAAGCAGGCACTGAGAGAGGGAATGTGTTCATACATCTCTTCTGCCTCCCATGTCAGCCCTGGAGACAGAGCCTTGTCTGGGTGTGGATGAAACCATCTGCTCCGTGTCTGACAACTCCAGGCAGGCAAAGGACAGGGAAGGCTGCCGCGTCCAGCCGCCTGCCACCCAGGCAATTCCTGACTGTGCTGAGCAGCCAGAGCAGGGGAACTCCGGCCGAGAGGCACTGCCAGCAGGGAGAGTAAAGGAGCCCATTGCCCAGGACAGGTCTGGAACAGGGCATCAGGATCAGACCAAACAGTTTTAAATAGCTGAGACCTTTTGATCCCCGTCCATCAAGGCCTCTGTGAAAGACCCATCAGTTGCCCTACAAGAGGGTTTGTGCTCCAAAGTACCCAGGGCCCTGGATTTACCTTTCTGTCAGGATGCTGGAGCTAAGCAGTGTGCCTTCTTACATGGACTTAGCAGGGGTTCATCAGCCTCATACCACTTTGGGTGTTAAAGCTGCTGTTGAGATGCAGAAATTAGGCATTCAGACACTCAGCCACACATATCTCCAAACCCTCTTCCATCCCAGCAGGGGACATAGGGTGTCCCAGGCAACAGTCTCATTAGCACCATCACCACCCCACACCTCAAGACACTTCCAGCCTGCCTGGCAGATTCTACCTTTGGGTCCCTATCCTGAAGCTCAGCTTGTGTCTAGAAAACACTTCACCTAGATCAGAACCTGCTATTACTCCATGCTCAAAGTCTCCCTTGATTTAACAGACCAAATCCTCAGGTTGTACAAATGACCTTGCACAAACACTGCAACTATGGCTATCAATGTGAATGTCTTCATCAACCCGTGCCCCCAGCCCAGGACCTGCTCCAGATTCTCCTGAGTTACGTTTGATGCTGTACCTTGCACCAGGCAACTATGAGTGGGAGGTTAGACTGGAGCCCTCCACCTGTTTTACAGATTATTTACCCCTCCAAACATAAGTTTAGGGAGCAGTCTCTTGCCTGCTAGGAAATCTTGAATGCCATCCAAAACCTCCCAGCATCTCTCACAGGACTGCTTCCAAGGAGGTATAGGGCAGTCCCTTGTTGTAAGAGGTGATGCTTTTTCAGGTCCTTCCAGCCCTTTGTCCCTGCATGTTCCCATGCCATGGCATGGCTCATCTCTTCTCTCAGTTGGTCATTCTGAATCCTCCACGATCTCTTGCGATTCTCAGCACTTGAGCTCATGTAGGAGGATACAGCTAGCTTTTAACAGGGTTCCTCACCTCATAGCAGCTTAAAGCATAAGGAGCATCCATGCATCTGGGTGAAAGTGGAGATCAGGAGGGCTACAGAACTGGTCTGCTACAGCAGAGCCCCTCCAAACCTCCAGGCCTGTGTCCAGACCCACTGTTGTTACAACTTATTTGAGCACTGTCTTTTATGCAGCCACTCATTAGCATCCCTCCATGGGATATATCTGCAGCCTGGAGATCAAGACAAGCAAAGACCATTTTGTTTGGCAGGTGCATAAGGAGTCAACTGGAAGTTGCAGCAAGCTCTTGACAATGCTACACAATGATAGCTGTCCATCATTGTCTTCCCCATCCCTGGAAAACAATTCCCATGGGAAATCACACAAGGACCAGAAAATGTAGTTTTAGAAGGGAAAGTGTCAGCAGTTTTTCCTGGATACATTGCTTATGAACACTGAAAAACATATTTATGGACTCTGCACATGAGTGTCTACACAGGCATAAACACAAAGCAGACAGCTGTGTGTCCAGCCATCTTCTGTGGCAAACCAAAAAAAAAGCATTGGTATCTTGGTGTCAGCCCTTCCAAAACAGAGTTGGGGTAGAAGTGATGGAATGAACAGTACTGTGCACAAATACACAATCCAAATTGCAGAGGGGCTGCTTCTATTTTCCATGCATTTTTAAAACATAAACAATCCTTTAATAATTGAAGGAGTTAGGGATGTATACTTTTACCACAACTAAATGTATCCTGGTTGTTTCAATTTGCAGAATAAGAACAGGACATGTAGGAGACCCCAGATTGGTTCCCAGTCTGCTCCTGTATCCCAGACTGGTTTCCTAGATGCAAGTGGGCCCTCAGGAGATCCCACACCACCATGCCCAGCCAGGCTCTGCAGGGGCGAGACAGCCCTGACAGAGAGAGCTGGCTGCACAGGAGTCAGGAACCAGCAGGAAAACAACGGGGCAGAACAAAACTGACAGCTTCTCTCACCTCCTCCAAACTGGGGAGACGAGGGAGTACCACAGGGTGGAATAAAAACAAGGACAAGTGTGCTTGGTTTCTAAATGTCCCCGGACTTCACCTCATCAGCAGTTCTACTAGAAACAAATGCAAGGGAACACATTATTATTTCCAGGTATGATTTTAATCTGAGATTCCCTTTCAACACAAAGTGGTACTTGAGTTACAGTTGAGTATCTCATCTCAGGCATATTTCTCCACAACGCTACAGCAAGAACAAGTTTCACCCTAAGCAGGTTAGTGTTGATATGGATCATTTCAGACCACCATCATGGTCCACCATTAATAACAGGTGCTGCCTATTAACCTTAATAAGACAGGTGATGCTAATCACTTAATCAGTCCTTAATTAGGTTCGAGAAAATTTTTAGGCATAGAAAAAAAAAAGCCATTTGGGCCAGCTTGAGATATCATCCTTCATCCTCTCTACTTTGGTTTCCCCTCCATGTTTTTCCAAGCCCATGGGGAAAAGCCATGTCAGGCTCAGACCAGCAACTGTACGGGAGCTGCAAACATCGTCATTTCCTCCCCAGCTGAGCTGGCACCACGTCAGAGCTGTCACCAGGTCTCTCCTGTCCCACTTTCCTGCAACTGGATATCACT